TGCTAAACTGCCTCTCCTACTTTTACGATGCTTTGGCCACTTTACTGATCCAATGTACACTGTTCCAAAACTTTAAACATACTTATTTAATCCTCCTAACAATCCTACAAAAGGGGTTACAATTATAATCTCTATTTTACACCTGAGAAAACTGAAGGACAGAAATATTCCATAGCTTATCTAAGGTAACAAGCTAGTAAGTGGCAAAGAAGGGATTTGAACAGACAGCCCAGCTCCAGTATCAGTGCTTTTCAAACCTTAATATACATATACATCGCCTGGAAATCTTACTGAAATGCGGATTCCGATCCAGTACTAGGGAAGGGGGTGCAAAATTCTGCATTTCTAACAACCCCATCTGTGATGCACATGCTGCTGGTCTGCAGACCATCCTTGCAGTAGTAAGGTTTTAGCCTACCCTATAAAATGGTAGAAAGTGGTGGTAATCTTCAGGAGGCAGTCTCATTCACGGTTAAATTAGACTTATGAACAAGTCAGGGTTTGCCAAATTTTGACTTAGAACTTAACTGCTTCTCTTATTTTAAAAAAAAAAAAAAAGTTCGCAAAATTTGGATGTTTACATTATCTGTTTTCAGGTTTCGCTAGTAAACATATTAACACTATAACAAAATACCATAACATCCCCCCAAATAAAGTCTTTCCCACATCCAAAAACATCTTCTCCTTACTTATCAACATGGTTAGGTTCCAAACACCAGCTCATCATGTGAAAAATCAGCATTACAAGAAAATGGAGGATGACCATATCATATCACAAAATGGAGGATGACTACATCATTACATAACTGCCACATTATATCATTACACAACTGCCAAATTACATCATTATATAACTGCCAAACCACTGAGAATCACGGCCCAGACAAGTTGACACATAACCTTAACCATCACAGCCAGCATTACTCTTGCCTCACACCTTGGCATTCATTACTGCCAGACATACGTCATTAATGCACAAAATAGTCAGTAGTTTTACTATTGTAAATGTGAAATGTCAGATAACAAGATAATCGACAAGTGAGGAGTAGGTGTATTTACAAATATCCCTTCAATATTTACTTTAACATAGATGCAATGAGAACATGATAAAGAATATTCAGAGTATATATTTATATTTTTCGTATACAGACAAAAAATCAGAAGCCGAGTTGAAAATCTTTTATCTTTCTGCACTTTTGCCACTTGTATAACAGATGACTCTGGGAAACAGATGGAATGTAAATGTCTTAATGTAAATGTCTTAATGTAAATGTCTTAACACACCACAACAATTCAATCAATAACTTTATCTAAAAACAGATAAGGAAATGCATATTACACAGCTTCCCTTCATTCTCATTAGTGTATCAACTGTTTATTCTAATCTAAAATAGAGTATGTCAACTAAGTACAGAGTATAAATTTGAAACCACTAAATGAATATTACATCCTTGTTTAGGATGTTTTGGTCCATAGCCCTCTAATACCTAATAACTGAAATACCATCAAATCACTGGAAATAACATCTTTATCAAACTTTTACAACATCAAGAAAAAAATATTATCGAAATATATACAAACATGTTTAAAACCATACACTTAATTCAACAATTAAGTCTATCCTAAAAAGGTGGTGCAAATGGTTAACATACTATGTTGTTAACCAAAAGGTTGGAGATCCAAGTCCACTCAGTGGCACCTAGGAAGAAAGGCCTGGTGATCTACTTCTGAAAACTTAGCCACTGAACCCTACGGAGTGCAGTTCTACTCTGACACTGGGTCGCCATAAGTCAGAATCGACTTGATGGCAACTGGCACTGATAAGATCACCCTGGGTTTACACTGCACAAAATCATGTAATAATTAAAGAATACTATATCAAACATAGGAAGTGATTTAAAAGTAATCTCCCTATCTCTGAAAATCTTTTATTTTTATTTTACAGAATTTTTCCATAGTGTACAGATATCTATTTCTTCCCTGAAGAGGAATTACATCTGTAACATACTTTGACAAGCTTATAAAAATCATATTGAAAACCAAAATGGAATTCTGGTTAAATAACTATACATGAAAGTTACAAGTATCAGGTTTCACAGATCTCAGGCAATTTGAACTCATATATTCTAGAATTTATGAATACAGAATCCCCTTTTTAATAAATTAATAAACTTAAACTGTACAATCACCATAAAGCTAACATTCTCACCTATGCACCAGTGAATTAAAAGAACATAACAGTGTAATCTAACACATATCTAACATGAAGGTAAAAATACAATACAAATTCAGACATGTCTGTCAAAATCTAAAATGCCTTCACTAGAACACTAAATATTTCAACTTACTGCTGAAGGACAAGCTCTGGGCCTTACGGTTTTTCTTCTATCTTTTAAGGGCACCTAAGTGATGGATAGGGCCCTGGTGGCACAGTGGTTAAAAGCTCAGCTCCTAACCAAAAGGTCAGTGGTTCAAATCCACCAGCCGCTCCCTGGAAACCCTATGGGGCAGTTCCACTCGGTCCTACAGGGTGGCCATGAGTCAGAATCGACTTGATGGCAATGGGGTTGGTTTTTGGTTTGAAATGACAGTACAGCAGTTACAATCAAAAAAGACATGCTGGTGGACACTATACAACAAGGAACACAGTATGACACTTAAAAGACTCTTTATACTTATTAGTTATCTTATGTAATTTAATATACATATTTATGCATATGCTATCTTCCACCCAAAAGAACATGAAGTCACTTAAAACACACAAAAGTATGTGGATATTTTATGTATCAAGCATATAGAAGACTGCCCCCAAAGTAATGAGCAACAACTTCTCTTAGTTTCCTAAGACTCATATTTTATGTTTGGGTGTTTTTTCTTCAATCACTTATACAAACAAAGAAACTCAGATGCTGAAAAGAATTTGAGAATTGAAAGATGTCATTTGCAACAGCTGACAGTCATCACAGGTTGTTACAAAGGAAAGCAAAGATGAAGTAGTCCATGTTATTATTCACAAGCAATTCCAAAGTTCTGCTATTTCACTAATCACTAAATGTGATGCATTATTTCACGGACGTATATGAAATCTGGCATATCAGAGGAAAATACAAGAAAATAAAAAATAAAAATGTTTTATAGAAAGATTCCACTTCCTCTAAAACAATCCTCAGTGACCTTGTGGAAACATCTCTGGGTTAAACACGGAAAGTATATTTCCTCAGCAAGTACAACACTAGGCTATTGCTCTAAGGGCATTCAACACATGTCTACTGGCCTCTCTAGATTTATGCACGTATTCTAGTTTGTGACATTTGCAGAAAACCAACAGAAACCTTTTAAAATATTTGACCTTACATGCAATTTTAAAACATTTAAGAGTTTTAAATTGATATATCTTTATATGTTTCATAGTGGAAATTATCAGAATATACTCTGCTAGTTAAGCAATTCTTCCAGAGAGCAAATTTAACTTGACCTCCCTAAATGGCTACAGATTTAACACACAATTTAGAAGGCTGGAAAAAAAAAAATACCTCGATTTACTCTTTCTCTAAAGCAGCAGTGTCTAACAGAAATATAATGCAAGCCACATATGGAATTTAAAAGTTTCTACCAACCACATTTAAAAAGGCCAAATAAGTGAAATTAATAACATTTTATATATTTCAATATATCCAAAATAGTATCATTTCAACATGTAATAAATATTTAAAAATATTAATGAGGTATTTTACTTTTTTTTATATTGTCTTCAAAATTCAGTGTGTATTCTACACTTACAGCACATCTCAATTTGGACTAGCCACAATTCAGGTGCTCAATAGCCACATGTGGCCAACGGCGATGTTACTGGACAATGCCACATTTAAGTAATAGTTTGAGATTTGACAGACCACTACCTGTTTAAAATTAGTTTACATTTATGTTTCCTTCTGAACTGAAATGCTGTGATTACAAATACATATAAGCAAAACTGTTAATTCACTGGAGAAACCAGGATCAGATCACCTTATCTGAGGATCCCGTTAACACACACAATAAGAAGCAATTGGATTAAATCCTATTATATCTCAAATAAGCTTCAGAAATAGGTCTGATCATTACAAGTGAACAGAACTTCTAGCAGAAACGTAGGTAAGACACAAACTTTTTTGTCTCAAACCATAATACTGCCTTATTTCTAGCAGCCACTCTCATTCTTGAGCACATCTCTGTGCAAACTATACAATTTTTGTAAGTTTCATGAATTCAGGAAGCCGTTAAAAAACACAGAACTATATAAACGAACTAAGAAAAAATTACTAAACCGACTACTTTTAATCATCTTACAGCAACCAATCATCTTATTCTCCCTAAATTCCACTGAAATTCATTCTCCCCAACATTCAAATTCATTTGCGGCTTTTCATACACGTATTTCAAGTACCAAAATCACTAAGAATTTTTCCAAATAATTAGGACATTTGCTTAAAGTGTAAATAATTCCAACAATGCATTCTCTAGAAAACAACAACTAAATCCATTAGCTTAGCAAATAAAATTTGTCCTTAAGGCAAGTCACTGAATAAATCAGAAACAACTACACCCTTGTTTACTGCATTTACATTTTGGAACACCACATTCAGCAATTTCTAAATTTGGAAGGGCAGTTCAGATTACACACAAGCAGTAACTTTAAAGATTAACAAAATTTTACAACTTTCTGCAATATACTTCAGAATATAACATACTCTACAGAAATACTACATAACAAAAATCAATGCCATTCATACCAATCTCAGTAAGCAGCATAAAATTAGTGTAAGTCAAACATGCATGATACATGCTAAAAAATCTTATCCCAAATTTAATTCACTTTAGACAATTTTCGTTTAATCCACTTGCAAATCTGAAAAGCAGCAAACGTTGCCTCTGGTGCTGCACACATATCCAGGAATGAAACAGTAATCTCTTGATATTTTTTCACAATTTGAAATTGAAACAACAAATTTGTTTCTTACCTGCAGTTAGGAGGAGGATCAAGGGTTATTTCAGCTAGCTCCTTCTGAATTCTGTTAGTGAAATGAGAACAGACAAAAAGCATTTGAGATAGTCTACAGAATAACCGGGGAATTACACTGCCCTCTACCACCATGCAGTTAAATGCAAGACTGGCTTTGCCTTCAGTAATGCTAACATGGCTGCTTCCTCTTTGTTCTCAGAGGCATAACCCAAATCCCTTAACAGAAACTTTGCAGCTTTTTTTCTCACTTGCTACTGTAAATAAGTAAGACATTTACACCTGATTTGGGAAATAGTCCTCCACTAGTACTCAGTAAAGGATATAAAATCTATTTTAAAACACTTTTCACCAGAGAAATTCTCTTTTCAAGCTTATATGCAAATGAGACAAGAAGGGAGGAGGGAAAGCCCTAGAATATCTGACAATGACTTCAAGTCACTTTTACTGAGGTAAAAATTAACAAGCTACTGCAAGAACACATAAATTGTTTTGACAATATGTTATCTGTTAAAAAAAAGTTTAAAATTTACAAATATATTTATCAGTGAAAAACTTACAAAGGACTCTTTGGCATTCTTATTTAACCTCATCTGTTTTTCCTGATCTTTTATGTACAGCATTTAAATTTACTAAATTTGAAGGGGATAATTAGATACATAGCCTTAAGTCAAGAAAAAAAAAAAGTTCTGTGATTTTATTCAAATGTAAAATGCTTTGAAAACTTAAAATTTAGTATGTTCTTCAACAAGACTACAACAAATTAAGGTTACAAATTATTTCAAAGACTGCCGCTATTTAATAAAATACTCCCAACTTATTAATGATTATTATACCATACAGAGGTGAAAATCTATAGAAAAGAGTATTTCAGAATCACTACAGAATGCAATTATTTGATCAGTTTTTATATTTTCTTTGCCCTTTAGTTGTGATCACAGAAATCAATGAATGTCAATACTAATTCAATAGATACATTTACTATATTTCTGTCCATATAATTACTAGAGTTCATGGATATTCCACAACACCCCCACTGATGGAGTCCCATTGATAGGATCTTTTTTCTCCATTACAGGTAATATAAATCAACAGGAAACAAATGATCTTTCACTTATACCCAACAAAATATGTTTCTCCTGCTGTTGAGTATTAACGTGTCAAGCATATCCGCAAGTTTTAGAGTAAAGAGTTGTGCAAGGACAATGAAAGTTTTCAACAGCCAAGTGACACCTAAAATTGTAAACGGCTACTCTGCAGTTTTATGTGTCCTCACAGACACAGAGGAGTGATCATAATTCAAAGTATAGGTGGGATGCATGACTTAAAGCCTTGTTTGTAAAACTGAGATAGTCTGTAGCACGATTTTAAATCTGCTTTCACATACAGCCAAGACTTTGAATTTATAAATTTTCTAGCAAATGTGATCCTTCTGACCACTAAAAGTTTCATGCAAAGGCACTGGTGATCTTCACAAGTATCAATTTCAATGAAGAGTATGACTCAAAAAGGAAATATCCCCATTGTACCATGTAATTTGGGTTTATCAAATTTCCTTTCACCAACTCCATAATCTGTAAGAATATTAGCCCAATCTTCATTCACGCACACTCTTGCTGAAGTTACTAAAATACAGAATAAGTTTGCTTAAAACTATAATTGTAAGGAGGGAGTTTATATACCATATAAAGAATGACAACTCATCCAAGTACAAACAAAACTGATCATGAAGTATTTCTGAACTATTGCTACTGATGTAAAACCAACAAGTGTCCAAACCTTTGGAAAACAACCTGACAATGTACTTAACCCTTTTTTAACACGTTACCTTTTAGCACTAGTGGATAACTTAGCAGTGGTTTTGCTAGAGAGTTTGGTGTTCTTCTTCTGCTGGGTGGCAGGTTTTCTTTCTTCTTGTTCTTCAGGCTCTGGAGCGGCTGGGTCTCGCTGGTCTGCATCTGAACTACCACTGCTGGTGCTGGGGCTCTCATCATCGGACCTTTGCCTATCACTGGACATCTTGGTGAAGTTATTTCTTGGAAAACTTTTTAAAGAGAAAAAGGGGAGGGGATGTTAAGTCTAAGAAATAAGCCAATAGCATTTTCTTTTAATTCAATTAAAATCGAATTTTAATGAAAAGGCTTCAAAAGTGTTCACACTTATCTTTCATCGTACATCAAGGTTACAGGGGAGGTGACTGTGTCCCACAACGCCAGCGTTCAGGGATTTACCCAACTCAAGTTAGAAAACCCACTCACATTTTTTTTTCCATCCCTTGGACAATCTATCAATTGTCTACTTTCTGAGAAGGCATGAAACAGATTTGCTAGGGAACTTAGGCAACGAGCATTAATAACATATGACACACTGTAAATAACAGATCTCGCTGAAAAATGTTAAGAAGTCACTAATAACGTCTAAATATTTACACACTGACATTGGTCAAAGCTACCAAATTGCCTTTCCGAGAGGAAAACATACCCTGTTAATCACCCATATGCTTATTTAACGTGGCGATTCTTCCTCTGTGCACGAAAGGCTTTAAACACAACACTCAGAAATTTAAAAATCAACTAACAAGCTGCTCTAGCCGTTTCCACGGCCAGCAGCGAAGATTCATCCGGCCAAGAGCGAGGTGCCACCCTGGGAAAAGCAGAATCCAAACTGCACCTTCTGCAAAGCTCCCAATGCCACCAAGGTTCCTCGCTCAATTTTTACATCACGGACCGACATTTTGTCCAAAATAACGAGAAAAAGAAAAAATCCAAGGAAAAACAAACAAAGCCCCAAGAAGTGCAACAAATTTCCGCGCCCGCGGAGGCGAACCGCGGCCGGTGGCGGCGGCGGCCACGCAGCTCC